TGTGTGAAGGCGGGCTGTGTGAAGGCGGGCTGTGTGAAGGCAGAGTGTGTGAAGGCGGGGTGTGTGAAGGCAGAGTGTGTGAAGGCGGGGTGTGTGAAGGCGGGCTGTGTGAAGGCAGAGTGTGTGAAGGCAGAGTGTGTGAAGGTGGGCTGCGTGAAGGCAAGGTGGATGGGCAGGACTGACCCTGCCTTACACCTACCCAGGCAGAAGAGGAGCGCGAGGACATGGAGAGGGTGAAGCTGGACAACAGGAGAATCCTCTTCAACCTCCTGCCTGCCCATGTCGCCCAGCACTTCCTCATGTCCAACCCCCGGAACATGGTGAGCACCCAGCCCACGCTGCCTGACTGCCACTAGCCGAGCACTGCGATGGCTGCTCCCAGTCCCTCATCAGGCTGACCTGTCCTTTGCCCTTCTAGGACCTCTACTACCAGTCCTACTCTCAGGTGGGTGTCATGTTCGCCTCCATCCCCAACTTCAACGACTTCTACATCGAGCTGGACGGCAACAACATGGGGGTGGAGTGCCTGCGGCTGCTCAACGAGATCATCGCCGACTTCGACAAGGTGAGGCCTGCGCTTCGCTGCCCTGGCCCTGTCTAGCCTACTGTGCACCCTGTTTTTAGGGTGACAAGGGTGTCCTTTCATCTGATTAAATCCTGCCTGTCAAAAAATATGTCACGTACTACTAGGAAGTAAAGGTATTCTGTCTCCTTTGGGATCCATATCTTCTGTGACAGTGAAAAGGGGATCTTGACCCCAGGATAGGGGACCAGGGCCATGGGCAGGGCTGGGCACCTGTCCCCTGCCTTGTAAACATCGGGGCTCAGACGTCTACAGGGGTGAGGGCTGAATGCATCCTCTGCGATGGGTGGGCAGCACGAGGCCCCAGGCCCTTCCACATCTAGCTGGTGCTGCACCAGCCCCACCAGCACCGGGCACTGGGACCTTATTGTCCCACTGACTGTGAGCTCAGCTGTGGGGAGCAGGGCCATGTCCTGTGCTGTCCCTCCTTACTTCTTCTTTCCAGCATAGTCCCAGAAACTTGTCTGGTCCCCAATGGAAAAAAGATGTTTTGCTTTCCAGAATGTGTTTGTTTGCTATGCTTCCAACTGTGGTAACTTTCCCAAATGTTATGTAATGTTTAACAGTTTTGTGTTTTAAACAAAGCTCATGGACAAAGACTTTTACAAGGACCTAGAGAAGATTAAAACCATTGGGAGCACCTACATGGCCGCGGTGGGGCTGGCGCCCACCTCGGGGACCAAGGTGGGTATCACCCAGGACCAGCTGCCTGCTCAGGATGGGGCCCCAGACCTGCCCAGACTCTCTGAGACTGAGGGCAGGTTCCTGCTCTGGGTCTGGTTCCCTGAGTTGGATTAGGGGGCTGGCTCAGGCTGCTGTGTCATTGGCTGGCTTTCCCCAGACACCAGCTACTAGGGAAAGTCAATGCAGAAGGCTAGTCAGGGCTTCCTCCAGCCCCAGCCCTCCCCAGCAGTGCCCTTCCCCCACAGTCTTTCCCACAGTGCTCTCCCCTGCTCCTGCTCCTGCCCCTGCTCCCTTCTCCTCTCCACCAGACAGCCGAACCTCACCACCCTCTCCACCCCACCCTCTTTCTCCTGCCATAAGTCATGAATCCTTCCCCTCTGGCCTCCTCACTTCCCCTCCTTCCAGCCCTGCACTCTCCTTTCCCAAAGCTGAACTGCGAATAAATAAAATAAACATTCTGAGTAGACCTATATCTATTAAAGACAGTGAATCAATAACTAATAACCTTCCAAAACAGAAAGCATAGGCCCATATACATTCACTGATGTATTCTCCCAAATATGTAAGGGGTAAATTTTACCAGTTCTCTACAATCTCTTCCAGAAGATAGAAGTAGAGGCCAGCATTCCACAGAGAAACAGAATAAGAAGATATTGTAAGGAAAGAAAATTACAAACTAGTATTTCTCATGAATATAGATGCATAAATCCTCAACAAATATTAGCATATTGAATTCAATAATGAATAAAAAATATATACATGAATATCAGAGTGGAATTATTCCAGATATGCCAGGTTGGTTTAATAATCTCAAATGAATTCTTGAAATTCAACATATTAACAGGATAAAGAAGAAAAATTATTTGATCGTATCAATTGATGCAGAAAAATCATTTAACTAAATCTAATACCTATTCCCAGTAAAAACTCTCAGTAAACCAGGAATGGAAGGAAACTCATCTGATAAATAACATCTACAGAAAACCTATAGTTTAACTTTATACCTTATGGCGAGAAGCTAATGCTTTCTCCATACGATCAGAAGCATACCAAGAATATCTTCTGTTTCCACTTCTATTCAACATCATACTAGAATTCCTAGCTAAGGGAATAAGACAAGAAAAGGCATATAGGTTTAGAAGGAATCTGTTTTTGCAGATGGCATAACTAATATGTAGAAAATCTGAAACACTAAGCAGCAGCAACAACAACACAATAAAAAACAACTCTTTGCACTAAGATTACGAGACACAAATTTAATATATAAAAGTTAATCACTTCCCAGCAATGAGCAATTAGAATTTGAAATTAGAAACACAATATACCATTTACGTTAGACTTCAAAAATGAAATACCAGATATCAATTTAATAAAACACATAGGAGATTGAGGAAAACTACATGAAAGAAAATAAAGGTCTGAAACAGGGGATTTTGAGTTCCTTCACTGGAGGAATCAAGGCTTTTGAGGAGTCAATATTGTTGAGGTATCAGTTGTTCCTGAACATGATGGTAGATTTAATACAAGTCACGTCAAAACCCCACCAGGATAGTTTGTGATTTTGAGAAACTAACTAATCCTTAGTTTAGATGGAAAGAAAAAAGACCCAGAATTGCCTACACAATATTGAAGAGGAAGAACAAAATTAGAGGACTGATATCATCCAACACCCAGGGTTACTGTGAAGCTACAATAATCAAGGCAGTGTGACATTATCCAGAGAACAGAGAAATAGGTCAATGGAGCAGAATACAGAACCCAGAAACGCACTCACACAACTGTAGTTAACTGATCCCTGACATAGGTGCAAACACAATACAGCTGAGAAGGGGAAGTCTCTTCAAAAAATAGTGCTGGGACAACGGGACAGCCACACTCAGGAAAACGAATACAGATGCAGCCTGCACACCCCTCCCAAAAACTTGCTCAGAGTAGATAAGAATCCTAAATGTGTAAGGCAAAATGGTTAAAACTTTTAGAAGATAACCAAGAGAAAAATCTACATGACCTTGATTTTGGCAATGATTTTTTTTTTAATGTAACACCTAGAACATGATCTATAAAAAGTGATAAGTAAGTTGGGCTCAATTGCAATTAAAAGTGCCTACTCTGTGAGAAAATACTGGGTTTTTTTTTTTTGGTTTTTTTGCAGTTTCTGGCCAGGGCTGGGTTTGAACCCACCACCTCCGGCACATGAGGCTGGCGCCCTACCCTTTTGAGAGAAAAAATTGTTAAAGGAATGAAAAGCCAGGCCCTGGTCTAGGAGCCAATCTTTTTACAAACCACTCATCTGATGAAGGACTTTCATCTAAATTATACAAAAAGAGCTTATAATCCATTAGTAAGAAAAAAAAAGTTAAAAAGTGGGAAAACCATCTCAACAAGCAGCTCACCAATAAGACATACAGATGAGAAATAAGCACAGGAAGGGTTGTTCAGAGTCGTATGTCCTTAGGGAGATGCAAATTAAAACAGCAAGAGGCCATCAGATCATAGGGAGAATGGCTCAAGTCCAAACACTGTCAAGATTAATGCTGGGTTTGAGGATGTAGAGTAACCAACTCTCATTCACTGCTGGTGGGAAAGCAAAATGATATAGTCCCAGGGGAAGATCATCTAACTTTGTTACAAAGCCAAATATAAACATAGTGTGGCTGGATGATCCAGGGGATGTGCTCCTTGCAATGGGGTGAAAACTTATGTCTCAGAAAATGCTTTCAGATGAATATTAGTAGCAGCTTTATTCCTATTCACCAACCCTTTTATAGGTAAATGGAAAAACAAATTCTGGTATATCCCTGAAATGGAGTGTTATTAAGTGATAAAAGGAAATGAGCTGTCAAGTTGTGAGAAGACGTGAGGTCCCTAAACACACATTGCTATATAAAAGAAGCCAGTCTGAAAAGGCCGCACACTGTGTGATTCCAGTGGCATGAAATGCTTTAAATGGCAAGACTCCAGAGGCAGTAAAAACACCACTGGTTGCTGGGAATTAGGGGAAAGGAAGGATGATCGGGCAGAGCACAGATTTTTAGGGCCCTGAAACTTCAGTGTAGCACTGTCATAGTGTATACGTGTTATATACTTGTCAAAACCTAAAGCATCTACAGTGCCAAGAATGGATCCTAATGTGAACTATGGACTTCCTTTAATAATGTATCAATATTGGTTCTTCAGTTGTAACAAACGTCTCACCAGTGTAAGGGAAGTACAATAAGGAAACTCCATGTCGGGGGTGAAAGGGGCACATGGGAACTCTCTGTACTATCTGCTCAGCTGACCTGTAAACCTAAAATTGTCTCCAAAATTTAATCCATTAATTTAAAAAAGCATTAGTTCCCTGGCTGAAGACTGATAAAATTTCCTTAAAAAATAAAAATTAGAAAGCTCACACTGCCACTGTTTCATAAAATGATCTTGCCACCCGCACACAGAAAGATACAGTCTCAGTCTCAAGGAAGGAAGTGTTCCCTGACACTGCACCCTGACATGGGTCTCTGTCCTTGCTTTGCTCATTTGCAATGGGCATTGACATCATCCAAGCAGGAGTTTGGACAACCGGTCTCCTGCCTGTGGGTCTCCACTCGCCCCGCTCCCCACTCCCTGCAGACAGCCTCAAGTGAGTTCTGTCTCTGCCACCCAGGAGCCAGGGTTTTGGGCAGCACCTCAGTCTCCTCCCTGTAGAATGGGGTGATAAATGTGGCCCAGCCAGGCACGAAGAGACCACAGTCCTCAGGGCTGCTGTACTGTGATGTGGGAATCAAACCCCTAAGCCCACAACTGCTGCAGGGGTCCCTCCTCCTACTAGTCACCCTGAATGTAATGATCCCTGTCTGTCCGCGCCTAGGCTAAGAAGTCCATCTCTGCCCACCTGAGCACGCTGGCAGACTTTGCCATTGAGATGTTTGACGTCCTGGATGAAATCAACTACCAGTCTTACAACGACTTCGTCCTCCGAGTTGGTACATGGCTTTAAACCTATCCCATCAATCAATGTAGAAGGCCCTTTCTACACATTCCCAGGGGCAGGATCAGCTGGCCAGGTGCCCTGGTCATGCAGGAAGGAAGGTTGTGCCAACCAGTGGAATGTGGGGACGTATGAGCAAAGTACCCCCCTGAAAGCTGCTTGTGGAAGTGGGATGCTTCCGAGAGTGACTTAGGACTTTGAAGATTCATTGCCCATGAAACCCGTTAGATATCCCGAGTGTCCCAGAGACTTTCAGATGCACCTCCGAGTCCACACTCAGCTGTAAGAAAATGTTCATTTCCCCTCAGCCAGACCTTACAACACGGAGCTGAGGACGTGTGAGCTGCCCCATAGGGCCTTGGCAATGGGAGCCCAGCTGTGCAGGCTCAGGCAGACCTTTGTTCCCCTCTGGGCTCCTTCACTCGCCTGTGGAGGGAAATCCATTTGGTGTCCAAGTTCCTTTCTAGCTTTTACAAAACTATGTTTGTTGGGGTTTTTGAATCTTAAATTCACTTTTATGTGAGATGTAAACAGTTTATCAGAAAAATTCCCTCCGGTCTAGGATACAGTAAAAATAGAGGTTTAGGGTTGTTTTAGAATTCTAGTGGACATAAGCCAAAACTTGGAGCCAATTTGAGTGTGAAGGGTAGTGGAAGGTGACAGATCCACTTGAGAACAGGCAGGGCTCTGCTATCCTGAAACACAAGCTGTTTCAGGCATGATGTCCAGCAGGCGGCGGGTCCCTGCTCTGCCTGGAAGCTGGTCAGGGAAACCCCGTTCCCTCCCTGCCACGTTGGAGCCTGCTGCAGTGGCTCAGTAGCTGGTCACGGCAGTGACCCTTCCACCCAGCAGGCTGCTGCTGACCCCATTTCCTGCTTGCAGGTGTGGGTATATGGCATTGGGGAGGGGCTCCCCAACTCCTAATAGCCATCCAGAAAGTGGCCCTTTGGGGTTCCTCTTTGGGTTTCCCAAGCCCACCTGCCCCAGCTCACACTGCTGTACCCCTGCCTCCACACTTCTCCCATGCTACATCCAGGAACTGAGGAGAATTTACTAGGATAAGTTCAGAAAATTTATCCAAAGCATATAAAGGGGAGGTAAGATGTGGCCTTAGCCTGGGCCAAAAAGCTTCAATTGCTGGAAGTGGCCACAGCGGGCTGTAGTAGCAGAGCTGATGGCATGCTGGACCCCTAAATGTCCTGCGAGGGACAGGCCAGGGCATCAGAGCTTGCTATGTGCCCTGTTTACAGGAAAGGAAGCCCAGGCCCAGCATGGATGAGCACATTGCTGAAGGTCACACAGAGGTGATTTAAAGTCTGGAGTCCCTGGGGGTCATTATGACACCGTCCAGCTGGTCTGCTGCTGCCCAGAGGCCAGCTGGACTCTGAGCTACAAAAAGAGAAGTGGTCCTGCATCTTTCCTCTGATCATCCTAAACCCAGGGGTCCCTGCTGAGTTCTGGGACTCACACCCTGAAATAGCCACAGAGTTGCAGGTGAGAACAGGTCAGGATCCACCTTTTTTTCTGGAAAAAAGAACACACTTGCAGACACACACTGTGATTATAGTTATCAAAAGTCAGATTTCTTAGTGTCTCCTATGACAGGACTTAGTTCAGGGGCTGATGATCCAGAAAATGGGACTTTTTCTCAGGATAAGGAGTCATTATCAACTACCAGTGCTGCCTCCTGGGACAGCAGCCAGTGTCATGGGTGCCACCCTTCAGGGGAGCCCTGTGCCGATGAGGCTCTCAGCCCCTCTGTGCAGCTGGATGGGAGGCTTTAGGAAGGAGCCTGGTGCAAGGTATCTTCAGAAAACAAGACCCTGGGAAGAGCATCAAGCCCACAGGTGGCCCTGCCAAGGGGAGTTTCACTTTCCAGCTAACAACAGGCCACACTCTGGTATTTTCTAGGCATCAACGTCGGCCCTGTGGTGGCCGGAGTGATTGGGGCCCGCAGGCCCCAGTACGACATCTGGGGAAACACAGTCAACGTGGCAAGTCGAATGGACAGCACTGGAGTCCAGGGCAGAATCCAGGTCAGTTCACCCCAAACCCCCTGATACAGGTGCCCATTCTGCAGGTGAGGAAACTAAGCCACAAGAGGCCACGGGTTGAACCCTGGGTCTGCAGCCAGCAGGGCAAGACTAGCTGCATACGTCAGTCCATCTTCTCAGAAGGCGTTTCCTGGGCCTGGCAGTTTGATTTTGCTCTCTGATTTGCTATGTGGCCTTGGGGGCCAGACCCTGGGTGACCAAGTGCAGACTCCAGAGCACCATGAGCTACAGATCAAGCAGCTGATCCCCACGGCCTGGCTGCTCCCATGCCTTCCCCAGGACTCCAAATTGCTTCCACAGAAGGGAAGAGCTTTCTCCTGTGTTGGAAGAGAGGATGCTGTGGGTCATCTCAGGAACTTCTGGAAAGTTCAGGTGGGATGAGCACCTTCCAGGAGCCATGGAAAGGTGTGGAAGGCAGAGCCTGTGCTCTTCCTCGGTGTGGAGGACAGCATTCTAGCTCTCAGGATTTCCCTAACAACAAACTCGAAACTTGACCCAGTCCTGATAACCACCGGCATGGAGTCCCATGGATCACATAGGGCCTGTGAGGGGGTCGCTCAGCCCTGCAGCTGCCCTCTGGGAGTTGCAGGCCTCAGGAGGCCACAGAGAAAAGGCATCCCCTGCCATGTGACAGTGGCTAGTGTGGGTGAACAGCCTTCATAAGTTTATAAAGCTCTTTTCTCGTGCTTAGAGCACAGTCAGGGGCTTCCATGAAACATCTCTGCACCTCTGTGTTCTTTACAAAAAAAAGAAACTGTGTCATTGTAGTGAAATACACAAAGTAATTCAGCATCTTCACTGTTTGTAGTGCACCTGCACAGAGGTGTGCGGCCGCCACCAGTACCTTAAGCACCTGCACAGAGGTGTGCAGCCGCCACCAGTACCTTAAGCACCTGCACAGAGGTGTGCGGCCGCCACCAGTACCTTAAGCCCCTGCACAGAGGTGTGCGGCCGCCACCGCAGCCCAGCTGCACGCAGACTTGGCACTGCAGTCCCTTGGCAGGACCATACGCCCACACTCTTCTGCAGGCTCCCCCAGAGCTTGCTCCTCTCCAGGGGAGACCTTTGTGGGACCGTCCTATCTGCAGCCTGGCTGCTGCCCCGCGCTATATTGCATTTTTATGCTTCTAATAGATCTAAGCCTGACCCTGGCCTGTCCTGCCTCTGCCCCCACACATGGCCTCCCCCTACCTGCCAGGTGTCCCCTACTGCTCAGGGTGTTACCCTGTCACCAGAAGGGCCTCTGTCTTCCCTTCCCTGTTCGATTTCTGGCAGCCCTTCCCAGTGCCTGCCAAAGGCCACCCTCCACAGTGCTGCTGGGCTGGACCATGAGAAGGGGGGCTTGGGATGGAGCTAGATGTTTCAACTAAAGGTGACAGGATTTGGGACCACATGTGGGAGAAGTGAGCAGCCAAATAGATGGGGGGGGGGAGCGCTTCCCAGATGGCTCCTCCAGTATAAAGCTCAGATACCAAACGTGTGCCTTCTGTTTGTGGGACTGACTGTGTCTAGCAGAAGGTCTTTTCTTATCCTTTCCCTTTTTTTCTAACTTTGTGAAGTAGGAATTCTTTGAGCTAAAATACTGTCTGGGAACCTGAGAGACAGAGCAGTTGAGTCCTGCTTCTCTTGTCCCCAGCACCCAAGCTGCCTCTCATGCAGTCTCTGGCGTGGAGTGCACCACAGGCACACACCTGGGTCCTGTAGCTGGTTCCTCGCCCCACCTGCCCATGCACCCCATCCGGGTGCTTCCTGGGCCTTCCTTCCCAGCCCAAGTGTGCTGCTCAGAGAATGTTACCTCTGCCTGTGGTCCCAGAAAACAGGCAGCCGGACGCTCTGGGTGTGGCACCTCAGGCCTCTCTCCGTCCCCTGGATTTTCTTTGCAGGGTTGTGTCCTTAGGGAGTGACTCGAGTGATTGCAGCTGGAGTGCGGGCCCCAGGCTGAGCTGGGGAAGCCATGTATACACACCGCCAAGGTTGGGCAGTCAGGGAGACAGTGGCAGATGCAGAATGAAATGTTCTGGTTTTTTCCCCACACACGGTTGGGCTCCCGTACCCAGAGGCGTCCCTTGTTGTGATGCTGGCTTCTTTGTGCTAACAGGTGACTGAAGAAGTGCACCGACTACTGAGAAGGTGTTCCTACCACTTCGTGTGCCGAGGCAAAGTCAGTGTCAAGGGCAAGGGTGAGATGTTGACATACTTTTTGGAAGGCAGGACTGATGGAAATGGTGCCCAGACTAGGCCCCTAGGCTTGGAGCGGAAAATGTGTCCTTATGGGAGAGCCAGCCTTCAGGCCAGACACCCCACTGTGTGCCCCAGTGGGCTCCCTGTCAGGGCTGGGCTCCCCCCACACCCCCCTAGCCAGTGTGTGCCCTCCACGGCATCTGGGAGGGAGGCTTAATGAGGCCCACGCTCACTGCCGGACGTGCACACAGGGTGAGAGTGCTCTGGGGCAACATAGGCCACTGTGGCTCCAGCCAGGACGAGCCAGAGCTGCAGAGCAGGCAGTCAGCAGCCAGGCTGGAGAAGGAGCATTGTCCAGGCATGGCCTGTGGCCAAAGGCCAACGACCTGGCAGAATCAGCACTGCAGTGACTTGGTGAAGGGAGGAGCACGCCTGACTGCACTCACACCCAGGCCTCACAAGAGACGTGACCTGTCTTGACTGTACTCACACCCAGGCCTCACTGGAGACGTGTCCAGTCCATCCTCCCCTTCCCTGGCCAAGGGAGTGCTGTCTGTTTCCAGCAGGCCTTTGCAGTTTGGCCAGGTTGGTGTCAATGACAGGAACTTCAGAGCATCTGCCGAGGGAGGTCTGGTTGGCAGAGCAGCTGAGACAGCTCTGTGCCTCCCCAGCCAAGGCACATCCCAGCGTGCAGGCAGGTCCAGCCTTGGGCAGCAGCTTCAGGAGCCAGAGAGGGAAGCCAGGCTTCACTAGGAGGATCATGAGGGCTGGGGTTGTCCATAGCACGGAACTGTTTGCTCTCGGACTGGATGATTTGGAGAGAACTGAGAAGCTACCTCTCGCTGCATGGAGGGTGGTGGCGCCGGCTTTTCTCAAGAGTGTATTTTTGCTGAGAGCCAGAGTAGGTCTGCTGGAATTGTCAGGGGCCTGCAGCCCCATCTCCACAGACATGGCCGGCATTGGATTCTTGCTCTGCCTGTGTGTTCGCCACTTGTCCCATCTGCTGGATCCGGCTCCTATGAAACCTGGACATTCCCTGCCCTGCACTTGTTCAGAGAAGAGGGTTGGGTGTTATTTCCTCCCCATCCCTGTGGTGTCATGGTCCTGTTCATTTAGCAACCGTGCAAGGCTGCATTTATGTTGGAAATGAGCGAGTTTCCTTGATGGACAATGTAGATTCCCCAGCAGAACCAGGCCTCCTAGATAGGCCGTTTCAGAGTCACTTCACAGTTGGCTTATGGTCATGAGTCCAGATGTCCCTGCTCCAGTTTGCAGGGAAAGCAACTGCAGGTGAATGTGTCGCTATCTGGGAACCTCCTACCTGCACATCTGGTTGATCACAGTGAAGATGAAGACGAGGATGGGGGTGAGTGGGCTGGGGTCCCGTGATAGGACTGACCAGAAATAGCCAGGCAAGTCCTGGCACGTGGAGACCCTGGATCTCCGTCACAGGGAGGAAGGCAGCTTGAAATGGGAGAAAGGTTCTAGAGACTCACTGCTTGGAAATGTGCTCAGAGAAGTTTCTGTGGACTGCAGATCAGACCTGAGCCCACCTCTGTTCAAAGCCAGCTGGTTTGGGTTTTTTTCAGTTCCCCAAGGGCTCTTCTACCTTTCTGGAGTCCTGACTTTTCAGAGTAGGAGCAGAGAAAAAGCCCCAGACTTCCTTCCCTGGAGAGGAGACCTGTGTGGGGGCCTGCTCTGACTGGTCCCCGTCAGGGAGCACACGTGATGTTCTCTGGCTGCTCCCATCATGGTGCGTTAGATGTGGCCTCCTGCATGGGGAGGGCTCCACCCTGGTTTAGCCAAATGGCCGAGGGGGAACAGCTAAGGCCTCAGCCGTAGCTGGGGGAGGCCAGGGCTGGGAGGGTTTCAGGGCAACCAGGTTGGGGCTGGCCAAGTGCCTGTTTCCAAGGGATTTTGGGTTAGTGGTAGCAGCTCTAGCTGAGGCAGGACTGAGGACAGAGGTCCAGGATGGACAGCTTCTGAAAGGGCAGGTGAAAGAGGCAGGGTTGCCTGTCTACCTGTCTCGAGGCTGTGGACCATAGGTAGCCAGGTGAGGCTGGGGGAGGGGGTGTATGCCACCTGACTGCTCTTTTTTCTCTCCCTGGGCTGGGCTGTGGCTTCTGTGATGTGCAAGGGGGCTGGATGTCTGCTGGTACCTTCCTGCAGAGTGATTTTGACCTAGGAAGGCTACCCTGTGGCTCCCCTGGAGAGTTTAGGGTGGAGAGTGGGCACCTTTCTTCTTCCTTGTGTGGTGCTCACGTCACCATCTGCTCATGCGCCCTGGAGTTCTGGCATCACTGGTGTGGGCTGGGCTCTCAAGAAGCTCTAGAGAAGGAGATGCTCAAGGCGGCTTCCAGCCACTGTTGGGATATCCATAGGAGGCTGTGTTTGTGCAGAACCTCCAGGGTGCTGGTGAGGACACCTAAAAATAGGCACGTTCACCTCGAGGACCCAGGCCCACTTCAGGGCTCCTTGAGCTGAGAATCTGGCTGGGGCCCAGCTGCCAGCCCCTCTCTGCAGGGGATTCAGGAGGGCAGAGAGCCAGTGCTGCCCACACTGGGCTGTCCAGGTGGGGGTGTAGACAGAGGAGTGGCCCCCAAAGGTGTCCATGCTCGAGACCCAGGCCCTGTGGCTATGCTCTGTCATTTGGCAAAGAGGACTTTGCAGACAGAATTAAGATCAGGGATCTTAGGATGGGAGATAAGCCTGGGCCACATGGCCCTTTGAAGTGGATGGACAGATCTGAGGCATGATACAGATGGCACCATTGTTGCTGGTTTGAAGATGAGGGCCACAGCTAATGCTCAAGGCCTCTTGACAGCCCCAGCCCTAGCCAGCAAGGAAGTGGGGACATCACTCCTACAATTACAGGGACCCTAATTCGTGACAACTTATGTGAGCCCAAAGCAGATTGGCCCCAGAGCCTCCAGGCAGGAGCAGAGCCCAGCCTGGTGACACTTGGGTCTGGCCTGTGAGACTGGGCAGAGAGCCACCTGCCACATGGTGTCCAGCCTGGGGTCCACAGAGCTGAGGGATCACACGTGTGCATCTGTGACACTACTCAAGGCAGGTCAGCCATGCAGCAGTGAGAGGAAGCCGTCTTGGGGACCACAGTTCCTCCTCTGGCACGCGACTGTTCTGCGGTGGACCCCATGGCAGCCTTGGCGAGGTCTCCGCGTCAGGGGGCAACCATCTCCATCATCAGCAACTCCAAACCCCACCTGCTTCCTGGGAGTTCAGGAACTGTGTTTAGCCATAATGTTTCCTGGGGTTTGGTGAAAAACAACTTCCTTTTTATTTGTGATAAAACTGTATTATATTGCCTTATTTATTTTTAATTGTGTACAATATTCATGTACAAATGTTAGAGCCATTCGGGTAGGATTCCCTCTAAGTTATTTCCAAGGCTCTGTAAATAATGCACCAGTGACGGTGCTGCCTGTTTACTCGTACCAAAAACAAAGACAAGCCCACACCCGCTCCAGCCCTGCTTGGCGAAGCTGTGCCCTTTAGGAATGACCCCGTGTGCCCCCTTCCCGCCCGTCGCATGCCTCCCCGCCTGACACCGTAGAGTAGAGCACAGCCCCACAATGCTTCCAGAGGTCCCCCTGGACCCTGCCCACCCTGGGCCAGGCCACCTCTGTGGGTGTTCTGTATCCTACAAGACACCCCCCACAGACCCAAAAACCCAAGTTTCCAGCCCGTGTTTCTCAGACTCTAAAGCCACTGGGGCTTCTGGAACACCTTTCGTAGAAGCAATAACTCTAACTGTATGCTGTGGAGATGAGTCTGGTCCAAAGCAGATTGGTAATTCAGAGACAACCCCTGCAGATGAGGTGGGCAATTCCCTGGCTCTGTGGAGGGCTACCAATCCCAAAGCCCCTGCCCCCTCCTGAAGACCTAGTTCTGGTCTCTGGGTTGTCAGGGCTGAGCAGAGCTCAGCACTCCAGGCCTGGTGAGCAGACAGAGCTGCACCAGACTCTCCTCAGATCATTGTCACCTCACCCCTGTCTCAGGAAAGGGAGGAAGGAGGCAAATGACATCCACCCCACCCAAGATGTTTTTAGATAGACAAATCTCAGTGCCAGCCTCACACCGTCTGACGTGGGGAGCCGCAGTTTGTGGCGGCAATGTTAAAGTCTAACACTGCAAGGCTTACCCAGGGTGCGCCACTTCAAGGAAACGGTGGCATGGTGATGGCGGTCCCCGTTCACTCTCCACAGTGCTGGTGCTGTGTTGATGAAGAAGAGCTCTCTAGACATGTGTCCAGGATTGGAGACCCCGGCCAGGCTGACTGGGATGTGGGAGCTTGCTCCTTCATATTGAGCCTGGGGGATGATAGACAGAAAAGTCTTCCTTAAGGAACTCAGAAACCCAAAAATAACCATCGGCATGGGAATCATTCCATTCTCTTAGCACTATAGTGGAGATGCCTGAAGCAGGTGTCCACAGTGGGCAGAGTTGAAGGTGTGGGGAATCAGGTCGCTTCAGCCTCCTGCACCCCGGCCCTCACTGTGCCAGGTGGGGGTCAGGGCAAGGCCAAGATGGGGTCCGCAGCCAGAGTAGACATTCTGGAAAACTTAGTTTGGTTTAGCGGATGGAAGGCTCTTCTAGTTGTGATTTCCCACAGATGGATTTGGGTGCACTAGGGTGGTCAGGACTTGCGGTTGGGGGCAAATGTGGCACAGGGGGGCTCTCTCTGGAAGCTGAAGGTGTGTGTGATTCTGGGTGAACCAACAGCCAATAGCTGAAGGCCTCACACTGGAGAGAGCACAGGCAGAGTGGCTGGGAAGGCCGAGGGCCCCTGAGTGGACTGGTGGGGCTGGGGTGCCTGCAGCATGGGGCAGGGCCCCTGCCACGGCACCTGCTCCCTCAGTGTGGACATTCCTCCCTTGCAGGGTCGGGGGCTCCATGAGCATGACCCCAAACAGACGTAGACAGGGGATGTTCAGAGGCCCCGGCTTCCCCCTCACCTTGGGGGAACAGATGAGGACACTTGGGAAAGTATTCCAGGGATTTCCCATGCTCTTCTGTCTGTTCACATCCTTACCAGAGGCAGATTCTGTAATAGGATGTGAAGAAATGTGTCACTTGTATGGTCCATTACACCACAGATTCAATTCCCGGTGCCACATTTTGGGGCTAGACTTCCTTAAATGACATGTAAACATATAATGACTCATACATTTGTATTTTTAAATTTCCCTGAAAATTTAATGCATTCTATTCCATATCAAATCCGTTCCCCATCTTAAAAATGTTTCTCCACTAAGGCCATGTTTAATTCTGATCAGTGTGTGTGCTATGCTGCGTGTATGCACACGTGTGCCTGTCTTTCTTGTGTGTTGTGCATGTGGCTAGGTGTTGCTTAGCATAAGCCAAATAAAAATTAAGCATTTGTTCCTGGAATTAAGATGGATTCATATAAGGAACAAAATTAAATTTGAATACAGCCAGATGATCTCCTATGTAGGGTATCTGGGGAAACTGTCTCTGAGAGCCCTGACTTGATTTTTCTTAGAAAATCCTCATGATCAGAGGAAGAAGTCTGGGCAGGAGGGGGAAGAGTTATGAGCAGGGGGGCATGTAGCATCCAGGACACCAAGGCAGCCTGTGACTCCCTTGATTCGGGGGCCTCCATCTGTAATCCACTGCTAACTCTTGCTTTTTTAAATAATCAACAATTTTAATTATCCACAATATCAGCACTAATGTCCAGGGATATTAAGGCACTAACAGGTCTCATTTCCTTTGTTTGGTGGTTTACTTTTGAGGTTGCTGGCTGCAGGAATTTGGAAGCAGGAGCTGGAAGGGAGTGCAAGCAAAACTCAGGGCCACCAGCCCCTCCGTCTGCCCTCCCGGACACTGGGAGCTGGTCTGGAGGCCGAGCCTTCTCACCTGAGTAACTGTCAGCTTCAGTCTCTCTCCCTGTGCACTGGGAGGAGCTGCAGGGAACAGGTGCCCTTCTTGGGTGGTACTTCATAATTGGCTGGAAAAAAAACATGTTGATTAGGAAACTGAGCAAAGGGGCAGCCATCTGGCCCAATGCTGTGTCCTCTACATCTGGCAGGCCCAGTTATTTCAAGGACCATTCGTTCAAACTTCGTGAAATTAGTGAGTTTCCTTCTACATGTCACCAGATTCAACATATTTTGCACTAATAACCACAGAGGAAGTGCGATTATAGCTCTCCTCATATAGTCCTCCGTGGACCTTTGGGTGGGTGTGAGCACGTATCAGGGTACCTAAATCTGCTTCACAGTAACTGGGCACCTCGGTGTGTGCCAGTCTAAACAGTCCACAGAGGTGAGACTATAACCTCAAGTTTTCCGTGAAGAATCTGAAGCTGAGAGAGGTTGGGGACTTGAGTATCAAGTCACACAGCTCTGAGACACAGGATCAGGATTCAACCACTGCTCTGTCCTGTCCTAAACCCTTGTGTTTCCCATCACCCTTAGTCCCTCTTTGCTAACAGTAAAGTCTGTAAAAACTGTATCAGTTTTGTTGGAGAATGCTAGCCTGTCCGCACACAGGGCCCACTGTGGTGGAGGGGACACTTGAGCAGGTGGGCTCTGAGCACAGTGTACTCTGGTCCCCTGAGGGAAGGCGTGCTCCACTCCCGTCCTTGGAGCCTGTGTTGAGTCCTCACTAGTGCCCCCAGCCCTTGGCCTCACATTCCTCATCAGAGCAACGCAATTTTTCTTGGCTAAGTCATATTCTTCCTTCTCTAACAACTGATCCTGAACAAGGAACTAAAATGTTAAGGTTATAAAGTTCCTCCTTTGTCATATCAGATTTTATGTTGTAAAACTACATTGGAGCACAACCTATCACTGTGTCTAAGAAGATCCAGGATTCCCTAAACAAGAACAGTAGTTGTCCTTTTCTGTAAGGCTTCACTAATATCAAATAGAGAGAAACTGTGGCACTCCCAGGAGCCCCCAAACTGCACATCATTTCTGTACTTAGGCTGATCCCATCCAGGCTCCCAGTCCTGGTCAGGAGCCCCCCAAGCTGAGGGAAGGCCATCGGTTGTTTGCTGTTTCTGCTCTCGTCTTTCTCCTCTGTAAAGCCATCCGCTGTTGGCACGTATTGTTGGGGTAGGCAGCTCAGGGTGCCTTCCAGGGAATATTCAGACGGCAAGAAAGGGATTATAACAATCAATAATCATGATAGTGAGAAATCTGGCAGCCGCCAGAGCACATGAACCCCGTTCCCTGGGCCCTGGGTTCTTGATGATGCCAGGCAGCTCAGACTTTCGGAGAGCTTGGTTTCCAAACGCTTTCAGCCACTTACTGAGAATTAATGTTTATGCTGAGGTGACACCCTAGACTAAGTCCCAAGAGATCTATCAAGTGTCGTGGGCTTTAGAAACTTGTGGGGGCAGTGCAAGAACAGGTGAGCAAAGCGTCTGCCTGTGGGCACCTGCTCCCCACCGCCTGTCAGGGAAGGTGGCCCAACAGCACCCAGAACTTGTTTCTCACCTTCCACCAGCAACTCCCACCCCGCTCCGGGCCCCAGCACATGAAGCACAAGTCTCAGGGGACCATTCCCACGTTGTGGGAATCCTGAAGAAGCCCATAGCCGCCTCTTGCACCCATGGGGAGTGTGGACACAGCTGACCACCAGGAGCACACACACCCAGTGTAGAGAGGCCTATGGTTTTGCCTTCATTCCTGCCAAAACCGCACATATGCAAACCATTTGCAGTCCGGAATTACATGCCGTGAAATTCCTAATTGTGTGGAACTTAGTCTGAATTGGAGGTCACGCAGCAGACACAGGGCCAGGCCTAGGCCTGCCCTTGGGTCATTCCCCATGTGGAGCGTCCCTGTAAGCCACAGCGAGTCTCATGGAGCCTGAGCTTTGTGCACGTATTATGCACCGTCTGCCCCCAAATGTCTCCTACTTGACCATCCTCATTTACACTGATACCACATCCCTGCACCGATGAGAATGATGTAATTATTAGGACCATCTCCTAGCAGTAGATTCCATTCTGATTTAAGGTAAGCCTAAAGCCCACTCTCAGACCTTCTTGACTCACTGAGAAAACTAATTTAAGCTCCTACGTCCTTCGGGTTTGGCTAGACAGGGCTATGTCCCTGATGGGAAGGGAGAGTGATGTGGGCAAGGTGTCTTTTTCTCACACAATAAAACCCACCCAGGATGCTTCTGTCGAAGTGAGAAACACGGTGACTATATTTGGAATTACAATAACTCGCTCTCACTGGGTAACTTCTCATGATAGATTTGTATGATCAATACGGGTCTCTTTTTATGTGAACTGAACACTGTAGAGTACCTTCCAGTCTTTTTCAAGATTGTTAAATTGAGACAAGTAATTGAATAATTTGTCCTATTTTTATTTAAAAACAAAGTGAATGGACTGACATGTTAAATGTGAATGTACATTTCTTAATTGCAACTTTTCTACTGAGTGTTTGCACTATACTTTCTGGAATCTTATTTAACAAAAATAAAGGAAAAAAATTGCTTGACTAAATCCCGTGGCCATTTCAGTTGAAAAATAAATGGTTATGTGATGTTTTAAAGACATTCCTAACTATTTCACATAGCTTCAGACAGGATTTATTATTCAAAGTATTAAATACTATGTGATCCTCTACTTAGAATAAACTACACCTGAACTATCACCCCTCATTCTTTTCTAGTATTTTAATCCTGTAGTCTTTTGAATCTCACAGTTTACTTATTCAGATGTTTAAAATTTAATGTTGACTGAGTGCAATGGCTCATGCCTATAATTCTAGCACTCTGGGAGGCAAAAATGGGAAGAGCCCTTGACTTCAGGAGTTTGAGACAAGCCTAAGCAAGAGTTAGATCCTGTCTCTACTAAAAATAGAAAAAATTTAACCTGGTGTTATTATGGCTACTCTGAAGGCTGAGGCAGGAGGATCACTTGAGCCCAGGAGTTTGAGGTTGCTGTGAGCTAGGCTGCTACCATGGCACTCTAGTCTGGGCAACAGAGCGAGACTCTTGTCTCAAAACATAAATTTAATGTAGACTCTCCATTTCATTAACTTTTCTTGGGTTTTAGAATATCCTACCAGGATAATACAGCTTCATCTGTCTCTTAGAAGTTTCTTTAGCTGTGGACTCAGTGATAAATTTATTTCATGTTCATCTGTAAATTATTTCCTATCTTAAAACTATCTGAGTACACAATTACAAGTTGACAAATTTTCTTTCAAAAGTTAAAAATGACCCATTCAAATTTAGTTGCATGGTGAAGGATGGCTTCTATTCTGCTGTTGAGAAATATTTGTCAGATGTTCCTGAGTTGTTTTAGGGTTCTCTATAGAAACAGCCGGTCAACCAATAGGATGTGTGTGTGTGTGTGTGTGTGTGTATGCAGGGAGGGAGACAGAGGAGAGGGGAGAGAGAATTGTCTCATGTAATCATGAATCTGGCACGTTTCATACTCTGAAGAGCTGAGCGGCAGGCTGGAGACCCAGGGGAGAGCAGATCCTGCAGTGTGAGTCAGAAGGTCCTCGGGGAACCACAGTCTTTTTCTGAAGGCCTTCAACCAACTGGATAAAGCCCACCCACATGATGGAGGGAAATCTGCTTTAGTCAGTCTACTGGTGACAAATGTCAGTCACTTCTAAAAACGGCCTTCACACTACATCTACACCAGTGTCTGATCAACAGCTTGGAACTGCGGCCTAACCAAGCACACTCAAAATTAACTAGCCTATATGTGTTGCAAAGTTTTTCTCTTATTGCCTCTTTAATTTCAAATAAAATCAATTCCTAGTAAAGACAAGTTAAAAATCATTATGAAAAGAATAATATCCTAATAAAAAATCAAAAAGCATATATAGAATTATCAAAGAAGTGCAACCCGAAAACATATGGACATAAATACATTCAACAGAATTATTAATGAAAAAAGTATGAATTAAAAGCAATGATTCACCACAGTTACCTTTCAAACTTGTCAAATGTTTTTAAAAGATCATGTTATAATACTAGAAAAACCACAGTGAGATCGTACTTGTTTGTACCCTGCTCACGGGAATTCATATCTCACTTGGTAAGAAAACAGCGTGATGTGTTAACATCTTTTAACACAGCAAATCCTCTAGGATTCTAACAAAATTGGTAGACATGGGCGCAGAGATTTCATATGAGGGTATCACTGTGTTATTTATAATTATGAAAAATTGGGAACAAACTGTGGTTGACAGAAATCTAAAGATGGTTCTCCAAGATTCCATGCTCCCCACCCCAGAACTGTGGATAGGATGAGACCCTGCTCTGGTAGTGTCATTGGTGATGTGACCGAGCACACCAAAGCTCACATGTACCCTTAAAGCAGAGAATTTTGCTGGCTAGACACAAAAGAAGTCAGTCGGTGGGATTCAAAGCCTGAAAAGCCCAGCCATTGGAAGTGTGAAGATCGAGGCCACATGACAAAGGAAGGCCTCTGCATTTTGGCCTTTGGATACATGAACAAAGCATCCCCCCAGCTGACAGCTGGCAAGGGACCAGAGCCTCAGCCCCGTGACCACAGGAGCTGTGTTGAGCCAGCCTGAAGGTCAATTTCTACCCAGATCCTCAGGTAAGAAGTCATCTTCTCACCTTGAGAGATTCCAGGCAGAGACCCAGCTGAGGTAATAAATGGATATTATCGTGAGTGCTGGGTTTGTGGTCATTTGTTCAGTAGCCATAGAAAATTCAAATGCAACAGAAACCAACACACCAACTAGATGTCCCTGAATGAGGAAACTTAAGCACATAACATGGCCACATCCTACGATGGCTTGTCAACAGTGTCCGCAAATCAGGTCTCTGAACCACACATGGTGACAAGGAGCAGAGGTATTGTGTGTGAAGATGATACTTATTTTAGGAAAAAAAGGTATGATTTCGATAAAGATTAGAGAAACTAATGTCTCAGGGTTCATAGGTGAGGAAGGGGCTTCAAGGGAGAGGAGAGGAAAGCCCGGCCTGCAGAACAAGGAAGTCTGGAGAACCCAGAGGAATGCAGGTATGAGATAACCTAGGTAACCAAAGACCAGTAGAAAAGGGCAGTAATGCCGGGAGGTGCAGAGAGGCCCATGAAAGAGTTGCAGCCAATTTCTTTTTGTTGTTGTTGTTGGGGGATCATTGAGGGTACCTGAGCCAGGTTACCCTGCTTGTGTTTGCTGGGTGAAGTCCCTCTATTAATAGTGTTCCACCCCCAAGAGGGGTGTCACACACATTGGCTCCACACTGCCTTCCCTCCTTCCCCTCCCCCCACCACGTACTAGCATCAGTTGTCCTCATATCAGAATTGAGTATGTTGGATTCTTCTTCTTTCTTGTGATACTTTACTAAGAACGTATTTCAACTCCATCCAAATTAATACAAGAGATGTATAGTCACCATCCTTTTTAGTGGCTGTATAGTATTCCACGGTATACATATACCACACAACCAATCTCTAATGGAGAGAAAGAGGTATTTATACCCCCGCAGGCCTTGCATCTGCCTCTCTCACCTCTCCTCCATCGTGAGAGGAACCCATTTTCAACTGTTGGAAGTACTCTAAACTTCCCCTTTGTTCTTAAAATTTCTCCATTACACTGAGCCTTGTGCAGGCTACTTTTGCTGTCTATTCAGCTGCCTGTGCTGCTCCAGTTTTATTTTCTGTTTCTGTTCATTTTTGCTTTCAATTACTGCCATGCCTCAGGTGATCCTTCTAGTTCAGCTGAGTAATCAAAACAGGTCAACTGGGCTCAGGGAACCCGGATCCCTGAACTCCAACAACAGACATTTTTAGTTGAATAGAAACTGTCAGGAAAAAGAATGCACTTACTTTCCTCCGGTGTGAAGCTGCATTTTCTGCAAAAATATACAGGTTTGCATACCCAGCAGGGATTAAGGAAATCCTTTCATCCCAGGAATGGAGGAGTTACACCAGCTTATCTCTAAGAGAGCACCTTTGGTGTCATTCCCCGTGGCTATTGCTTATCAGTTTGTCATTTACTCAAGTCCATTTAGAAATTTGTCCTTTGTCTGACCTAAGCTGGCAGGCACCCATTGTCCCTCTCCTGCTGAGGAGTTAAAGGCCACATTGGTCCTCCCCTTCACAGCATGTCTGGGTGGCAGAACTTGATCCTCTTCCTGTGCATGCAATGTGCTCATGATCTGTGCTGTGTTATTTGTAAAAACATTCAAGAGTATTGCCTTTTAAACACTTTTGACTAGAGAGCTATGGATAATTGCACATACTCCAATTGTGTAAAAACATAATTGAGTTTTGAGGGCGGTGCCTGTGGAGGCAGGTGGTGGGTTCAAACCCAGCCCCGGCCAATAAATAAATAAATAAATAAATAAACATAATCGAATTTTGTTACTGCATAGAAAAGAAGATGCAGCAAATACCTAGAAATCATCTTATGTAGAGGATGCCAAGAGCCAGATGTCCACTGAGCAAGATGATTTACAGCTGGGGAGTGGACCCTCAGGCCATTCATCAGCAGGTGTTCCTTGTGGGAGAAGAGCCCGAGCCTTCAGCGCATAGTCATTGTTAACTACTCCCCTCTCCTGTGTCTCAATAAAGCCTAGTGTGGAGGTTGCTTGGGGCTACCCTGCTAGCCCGCCTCCTACAAGTTTGTACTTCTAATCCATGTCACGCCTGGTTCCTTCCTTCGGTGATTGAGACCAGGGCCATAAGGGTCTGAGGGGTTGCGACAGTCTTACACATAAAAACTTTGTGTGCTGGTAATTCAAGAACAGAGTTTCCAAAAAATCCCTACATAATCTTTCTTCCTTGCTGGAATCATTCTGAGTTTGGATTTCATTCTTTGAAAAATGAGACACAGGTAAAATTCACACGTGTCTGAATCACTTTGCACAGACTGAGAATAGTTCTCATGAGAACTTCATTGTGTCTTAAGACAGTCTGTTATCTGAGCTAGAGTGCTACGGCCTCAGCCTCACTCACAGCATTTCCTGGGCTCAAGTGATCCTCCTGTCTCAGCCTCCTAAGTAGCTGAGAATAACTGTCTGATTTTCATATTTTAATAGAGACGGAGCCTCACTCTTACTGAAGCTGGTCTGGAACTCCTGACCTCCAGGGACCTACCTTGGGAGTGCTAAGATTACAAGCATGAGCCACCACTCCCAGCCTAGAACATTTTTAATAACCAATAGTAAAAGGAGTTACTCTGAAGTATTCCTCTATATGTTATACAATTATAGACAGTTTTTTTTGCTTTTGTATATTGTTTTATTTGAAAAATTAATAACTTTTATTTCCTTAATCTGATAATCGTACAAACTGATAATTAAAAAGTGAACATTTGTCAGTTTATACACGTAGAACTGGCTCAAAACTCAAATATTTAACACATTACACAGTAAAGTCTTAGCATTTATATAGTCATATGTGGAAATTTGAAATTACCATGTCAGTTGAAGCCACCAGTCGGTATCTAATGCCTCTTGTGAGGAATCTCATGGTTTCCCTTCTGCTGGAAACCTCCAAAGTGA